AGTACTGGGATCTTTTCTTATTTCTAAGAAAGACTTGGGATAAAGACGCAGTTGATGCCAAGGACAAATCAGAGGGTGGTGTTGGGTTTTTTTTTTCTTTGAGAATGGTGGAGAGGGGGGGTGATGAAGTAGTCCAGTTTGCTCCACATGGCGGAACAGAAGTGCTCTTGGTGAGCGAGCATTGTTTAGCAGATTGTCCTCATCGCCTTCCAGTGTTCTTTTGCTTTACTGTACATTGTCTGCCTGTCAGCCGTTCTGTGGTGGAAGCAGGGGATAAGTGTGGAGCCGGACCCCCCCTGGTGCAAATGGCCATTCTCACAGCCCAGAAGACTGCTCCTCTCTGCCACCCACTCCCACCTGGTGCCTTTGCTATTTTCTTCAACCAACCACTTCATTCTGGCTGGGTCGCTACCGTCTGTACTGTGCTGGCAGGCGCCGTTTGACTCAAACGTTATGCAAGCTGAACGTTTCAAGCCGGTTTCTGCCGTTTTGTCTTTTTAATGAATTATGTGCAAGACGGATGCCGTAGATTCTGCACAATGATAGTTTGTAAAACAGGTGGGAAGTCATTTAAATCTGCGCAACTGGCTGGAAGTAACGGTGTGAGCGCTTGAGTGATAGATTTTATCCCATAAATCGCCATGCTGATGTCAAACAGATGTAAAACAGAAGAAAAGGCCTTCTTCCATTTTCCCCCAACTTATTCCTCTTTCTTTTTAAACATCCGTGAGATATGAGAAAACAGGAAAATATCATACTTGCCTCACAAACCGGTCAGTAAGGTTCTTCACAAAGGAATATATCTCACGCCAGTCATTAGCAACGCTTCCAGACCTGAAAACAAGAAAACAACAGTCAGCTCACAGCTCATCAGTTGCAGCAGATTGTGTGCTGGGGAGTAAAATACTGTACAGTATTTGTGCTTTGTACCACAACCACAGTTGGACATTTAACACCAGCCACATGCTGGATAATTGTGCAAAGTCTGTGCACTACAGCAGCCACTTCAGCTGTTAGAATCCTCGAACGTTCACACGAGGCTCGCCTCTCTACAAATGTACTTGGCCAACAGATCTGAAATTTAACAGGAAGTTACCGGGTAGAGGTTGAAGCAACAGAATGCAGTTTAACTTAATCCAGTTAATTTGTGCAGTTTAGTAACGCGGGAGTTCACCGACGTCTGACAGGCTCACTTCTGCAACCTTTCGTTACACAAGAAGTGCAGAGAAAGATGGAATAAGGTGCGAGAGCTTGTTCTACTGTCTTTGTCTCATTAAAACTAATTAAGAGTTGGTAATTGCCAAAAACGACACATAAATTTTCCAAGGTGGGTGTGAACCTGTAGCCCTTGGCCCCTCTCACCCCTCAGTAAGTTGGTCTGACCACATTGAACAAAGTGTGTAAAATGTGCCCTTGATGTAACGACAAAGAGGTAATTAAACCAATAATTACAATTCTATGTATGTACGGAGAACATAAAAAAGAAGAGTTTGACCGTTAGGAGGCTCATCTTTCATGCCACCTCTTTCTCCTCCCTGCTGCCCGTAGACAAGGTCACACAGCGGAGGAAGGAGGCAAGAATAAAGAAGAGTTTTACTCTACTTTGACAACGCTGGTGACTCTGCATATATTTAAGTGAGTTCTTTGTGGCTAAACATTGGTTTAATAGTTAAAGGGATGAGAATCAGCTCTGGAGGATCTCAATGTCATCATCTTTGTTCAGTGCGATGCTTGGGTTTAATAACTCATAGCGGGCTGGAGTAAACAAACATGTCTTAAGTTGTTGTCATTTTTGGTTTTATAAAAATTATAATGAGAAGTTTTGAATGTTTATTTGCATGAAGCTCCCAACTTAATCTACTTATGTGTTCATAACAATAAAGACATCTTATTCTGAGTGTTTTCTGTTTGGTGCATGAATATTTGGGTTTGCTCTTATAAACTGGTGCCAAATTTCACAAGATTCGTTTGCATATCTTGATGCATGCTCAATCATCCAGGTTAGTAAATCTCCAAAAGTTGATTCTGTTCATCTGGACGTAACGTTTTGTGGGAGTTTCGTCACTCATCCAGGTGACTTCTTCAGTCTCAGCTGACTGCAGGTTTCCAACCTTATAAACAGGTACATTTGCATAATGACTGAAACCAGCCCACTGATCAATCCTGGACAGGGAGGAACGCTGGTTTGAGTGCGGAGTCAAGGAGGCCATTTACGTGAAAAGGGAAAGACCATCTCTGAATCGAAGAGGAGGCCTAAGGGTACATCTTTCGCCATCTTACAATGCTGTGATTGCAGCCATTCCCCAACTCTCTGTGAATGGTACTCATGGCCATTGATCAGTGGTTGTTGATCAATGGTCATGAGAATTTGCATAATTAAGATTAAGGAACTGACCTCACAGCCCATTGTTCCTTCAGTGGGCTGGTTTCAGTCATTATCCAAATATAGTGTTTATAAGATTGGAAACCTGCAGTCAGCTGAGACTGAAGAAGTCACCTGGATGAGTGACGAAATGTTTCTCCCAGAAAACGCTACGTCCAGATGAACAGAATCAACTTTTGGAGATTTACTTACCTGGATGATTGAGCATGCATCAAGACAAAGAATAAAGTAACTTAACGTTATAACTCATCAGGACCTGCACAACACTGTCATGCAACAAAACTCAAAAAAGTGAGATGTTTTATCTTGGGTCGAGCTTCTAAACCAGGTAACTCTACTGTTTGCTCTTCCTGTGATATGGAGTCTAACTAGCGAGCGCTGCAGAGTCATTAGCTGTTAGTCAAAGGAGCTTGCAAAGAAAAGCGTCTGGACTTCTTTAAGTTTGCTTGAAGACGTTTCACCTCTCATCCGAGAAGCTTCTTCAGTTCTAAGGTCAAATGGTGGAGAGTCCCAGATATAAACCTAGTGGGAGTATCCCCCCAAAGAGGGACAAAAGGACCCCCTGATGATCCTCTAATTTTGACCTTAGAACTGAAGAAGCTTCTCTGATGAGAGTTGAAACGTCTTCAAGTAACTTAAAGAAGTCCAGACGCTTTTCTTTGCAAGCTCCTTTGACTACGATGACCTGGATGACTGAGAACCTTCTCAGACATTAGCTGTTAGTATCTCCTCCTTCAACCTGTTTTGATTAGCTGGTGTGTTGTTGCAAGAATCTTCTTGCTTTTGGAGTTTGCAGAGGTCGCTCTCATTATGTTGAGCTATGCTACATATTAAATAAACTATCTCAGAATGATTTAACAGGCTGGAAATACTTGAACTTTATGCTCATACATCTTTAAGGCTAATACAGCTCCAGGTGGAGTGTGCTCTATCCACTGTTAGAAACCATTTCAATCAGTGTTTGCTTTTCTTTGACGTCACACTGAGGATGTACAGGTTGGTTGCCAAGTGTGAATGGAAAAAGATGACAAGTGAGGCTAAAAAGTGAACCTAGTGCAGAAGTGCCACCAACCATTCTATCTAATGGCCTGCAGTGGTGACTGCACTACTGGAAGTCTATGGGAAAGTAGCTCTCAGTTCTCTTGCTCTGTACTTTCAGTGAACACTTTCCCGATGGGTTTTTGGACTCAACTGCTAGTTTATAAAACATGAAGCTCACTTGTAAATGTTGGTTCCCTAATAGAGTCCAAAACGATTATGATTTGTGTTACTGTGTGACTGACAGATGCTCTGAAAAGGGTTTTGAAAGAAAAAAGGAAAGGCAGCGATTGCTGCCGCAAACATTACAGCACAGTCTTATCAGTTCAACCAGGAAATCCTGAAGTAGAGAAATCATAGCTGCAGAGATAAAGTAAACTTAGAGATGCTGCAAGCTGACAAGTAACAAACAGTAAAGTTCAGACCTGTTACATTTCAAACATGTCAACTTGCATTTGGAAATCCAACGCATTTGGCAAATTTATAAAAAAGAAATGCTGAACAAGCAAAGATGTGTGCACACTGTCATAATTGTGCCAAAAAACCTCGGTCATCATCCTGTAATTATGCAATTTTATCCAGAGCAGGGTGGGTCAAGCACAAAAGGGCCAGGCGAGCAGTGTTTCAACTCAGCACGGTGGCACATGTCCAAGCCGCGGGAGGATGGGATTAAAAACAGTTGCTGTCGAGGCTGTAAACTCTCCTTCGTATACAGGAGGTCTTTTTGCATGGCGCCGCTTCTGCAAAGCAGTTTCGCTGAACCGAATGTGGCTGTGAAGTCTCTGCATGTGTGATGTCTGCAGCAGGGCTGTGAGAGTGCGAAAGACAGGAAGTAATGCAGCATCAACATCTGCTCGAAGCTGCTCGCGCTGGGTTCGTCGGTGCACCATAAGGGTGGTTTCAATGGTATTTGAGGATTAGAAAGCTTATATGTGTAAAACTCACACTAGTTAATGCTGTCACCTAAAAAGACTTAAGTCAAGACTTTAATCAATGATTAAAAGACATTAATTAATTGATTAGAAGATGCTCTGCTGTCATGTCAGATAGCTGTTGCTATGGATACTGAAACAATACAGCAATAGTTGAGAAACCTTCATTCTTCCTCTTCTCAACATTTCAGCATTTCCCAGAATGATAACATTATAAAAAGCCCATGACATGTTACTGACCTGTTACCAACTGTGCTCTTTAAACATACCATAAATATTATGGTTAAAGTCTGGTTAACGTTCAGGGTGCGAAACTACTTTCGTCACGGTAACGCTTGTGTGGCGGTATGAGTTTGTCACAGTAGTCGCTTCACCACATGCAACCACGAAGCACAGCTGTTCACCACGTAACCAAGACACAGCCCTAGAGTATCATTCACTTGAGCGGTCACAGCCCCGGCTTGATCTCCAGTTCACTTCAAATACCTGACCTCAGCCTCGAACATTTATCAAAGCTTTTTTACAGCCGAGCAGCTAAACAGAGAGCTTTTTCAAGTCCTGTCATGAAATCTCCAGAGACATAAACTGTAAACTGCCAACGCATTATAATCATCATCTGCTGTTTTTAATCCATCCAAAGTTCCTGCAGCTGCAGACCAACTGAAGGCTCCACATTACATTACAAGGCAATCCCAATTTCCATTTCCACTTTTTAGTTACAGTTAACACTAAAGCTTCACACTGAAAACTAACAGGAGATTAGACATGCAGCTGACAACGAGCCAGCTAAACAACAACAGCTGGTTATAAGGTGAAATTATGTCAGCTGAGTCTAAATGCCTGTAAATGACTATTATGTCCCCACATTGTATGAGAGTTTATTCGCTAAGTATCCGAGTCCAATACTTCAGAAAGTCGCCTCAAGGCGCTTTATTTTGTAAGGTAGACCAACAATCATATGACCCCTTATGAGCAAGCACTTTGGCGACATAAAACTCCCAGGGAGGGGCGGGGCCATCTGCTGCGACCGGTTGGGGAGAAGGAAGACAGGATAAAGACATGCTGTGGAAGAGAGCCTGATGTTAATAATAAGTATGATTCAGTGCAGAGAGGTCTATTATCACATAGTGAGTGAGAAAGGTGACTGAGGAAGAAATACATGGTGCATCATGGGAATTCCCCGGCAGCTTACAACTATTGCAGCAAAACTAAGGGAGGATTCAGGGTCAGCTGATCCAGCCCTAACTATATGCTTTAGCAAAAAGGAAAGTTTGAAGCCTAATCTTAAAACCTGAATCCTTGGACGAAAGTGAGCTCCACTGACTTCTTTCACAAAGCTTTACATATTTGCATATTGACAGACGAAGCAAACAGCAGACTGACAGCCACTACAGTTGACTGGGGGTCAGAGATGCTTGTCCTACAGTGACCACCATAACTAGGATTATGTACTTGAATTGGGAGGTGGAGGAAAACAC